GGCGCTAATTCTTGAAGTTATCAGCTCCGCGTTTATGGTACCAACCCCTCGCATGGTTTTGAACACAAGGGATACGCTGAGCAGCACTTCGCATGCGCTGTTGTACTCAAGGCAGTGTGACTAGCAGATCGCATGGTGGAAAGGGTTACTACTAGTGATTCTGCTCTCCATTCCCGCAACACTACGATGCCGAGTGGGTACGACTTGCGAGAATACCATGGCATGAACCAGCACTCGACAGAAGCTGCATGTATCGGATACAACACAGTGACAGATGCAGTACTATGATACGACTGCCATACCACCAACACTTAGTGATCTTCACACGTGGACCAGATGTGGGTAACAGCATGCACAGTCGGACAACATAGCCATTCATCTGCACATTACAGCACACTGTTCCAACCATTCAAATCTCCAACTACAACTTGCACCTGCCCATATACCACTGACGGCAATACACACTATCCTTCCTTGCTGTGGGCAGAGCTCGCTTACTTTGTAGCAACAGAGAGTTCTTACTACAGTACAACTGGCTTACAATTCATCGCCATCGTCCACCATCTCGAACATTGGCCACACAAGCGCCTCTTGGATGTCCAACATCAACATAAGCACCTAGCCACTCTTCACTACAGTTATCCACACCATAATCACGACATCAGCCAGAATCCATCCAAGATTCAACCTTGCTTCTATCCTCGTTGAAGCAAAGGTCACTTCAGTCACCTTCCGCTTCTGCCTACCAGGCACTTGGAAGATCCATAACGCCTTCTATACCAGCTTCCTAAACCCTATCAAGACCAAAAACGCTCTACACCGAATGCCAACCACCGTCGCCACCCGTGTTCGTCCACGATGGGACAACTACGTGCTCGGACACCGTCATCGTCAGGACTCTGGAGCTTCTTCTTTGCTAGATGGGTTATGATACTTACGAGGCTATGTCTCTGAATTCGACATGGGTAACGCCCGTCGTCCTCTTCACGACTACCTTGTCAAGCAGGGTGTTACTTCTATCACCCAGCTTTGAGGGGGGGAAGTGTGAGAGTACGACCCTGTTACACCAATTTCCCCTTTCCACATTTCCTTTCTATTTCGTTCCTCTTTTTATCCTGATTCATTTGGTCTTTATCTAATCATATTTGGTTTCCTATTCCTCCTTTTCCATGATCCTTTGGTTTATCCTATTATTTTAATTACATCACCGACCAGGCTCGGGATGTACTGGCGCGCTATATCTAGCGTAATTTTGCCGTCATCCCTTATAGCCAATAGCCATACGCAGGGTGATTCTATTTCTAGAAGGTTCTATTCCTTTTGGATAGGATAAATCTGGCTACCTGATGTACTTTGGAAGTATAAAAGCACCTTGTACTGATTGATAGTGGAACATTAAGCAAACCTCATTCGATCCTGTGATAAACTAAGTTCTGGGAGAATGAGGGGATGTGGAGGCCTGTAAGGGAGCCCGAGGGGACAGCTGGACAGGGGAGGGAAGCGTAGCTGCGACCAACAACAGGACCAGACAAGGGGTCAGCAAGTGCGACAGCGGCAGGCGCGGCAAGCGGCGTGAGTGCGGCGTGGTCGCAAAAGAAGCACGCAGACGCACCGGAGTTAAGTGTGAAGGACAGCGATGCAGTAGCAGCAGACGATGAAAAAGCGAGTGTGGAGCCTAGGCTAGACAAAGCAAACTGTCCTATGCCTGACGCAGCAGAGGAGTCTGTACTATACACAGGTGCTACGCCTAAGCTGGAGTACACATGGTAATAAGATTCAGACACACTAGAAGCGCCAGCATACAGACAATGAAAGGCATAACTAATCTGATCCATATCTTATTCGAAAACGGGCACACCGTGGCACAGTAGGCTGGGCCAGTCAGGGAGGTCCGGAGCCGGGCCGAAGCGGCGACGAAAGAGGTCGTCGAGGCGGCGGAAGCAGTGGGCAGTCGGGTGCGGGCGGCGACTCACAGTGCCACGGAGGGGCCCGGTCTGGAGCTGGTACTGGCAGCCGACTGTGCCGAAACCGCCGGAAGACGCCGAGCTGCGAGGACCGCCACCTCGGCCACCACCTCCAGGGGCTCCCGGTCACCCTGGCGGGAGGCGGGCCCACGGCTGCTGCGACTGCTGCGGCTACTGCTGCAATTGCCGCGGTTGCTGCTGCTCCTGGACACCTACCCCAGCCCCCTCGTCAGAACCATTGTCGCCGCCACCACCACCACCACGCCCTCCCTTGCGACCCCAAGGAAAGCGAGCTAGGGGCCAGCTTGCGACCCCCAGGTACAGGGAAGCGCAGAAGGGTGTGGGGAAGGCAGTGAGCTGGGCAGTAGTGCTAGCGGCACGGTAGCTAGTCTCTAGTGCACAGAGGTGAGTGGCAAGATTAGCAACAGTGGGGAAAGCAGAGAGATCGGGGAAGAGCATGGGGAGGATTATGCGGCCAGCTGAGGCAGAGGCAGGCGTGGAGTAGCGTGCAATTACTGCATCTAGGAAATCCTTGGCGTTCGCGACAGTAGTGAAACGCGGACACTCATAAAGGGGAAGCGCATGTAAATGGCAAGCTGTGCTACAGCATCGCGAGAATCCCAGACAGCGAGAGCGAGCACAGCAGGAAAGGCCTCACTCTTAGTAGTTGTGGGGCCAGCAAGGAGGGGATCAGGGGCAGAGGGGTGAGGAAGCAAGCCATCAACATGCACAGCCAGGGAGTGCCCATCTTGGCGCTGACCTGTCAGGTGCCGAAGGAGATCGACAAGCCAGGCGACGAAGTCGATCGCGTGCCCCTCCGCGTCCAGACGGAGCATGGCATCCGCCATCACTCAACCACAGCGGCACCGGGACACAGCGGCACATCGGCACAGGGACTCAGCGACACGGTGGCAGGACTCTCCGTATTTGAGCCGAAAGGAAGGCCGAGGAGGGCGCGCGAGGAGCACAAGGGGCCGGTGAGGCGTGAGGGGCCAGCTAGGGCGCGAGGGGACGGTCAGGCGCGAGGGGCCAGCGACGGCACGAGGGGCGGGCGACGGCGCTAGGGGCGGGCGACGACTTGGGGGGGCAGCTAGGGCGCGAGGGGCCAGCAAACGCGAGAGGGGCCGGCTAGGCACGAGGAGCCGGTGAGGCGTGAGGGGCCAGCTAGGGCGCAAGGGGCGGGCCGGCTGGTCGCGAAGGGGCCAGTTGGGCGTTAGGGGCGGGCGACGACGCGAGGGGGCAGCTAGGGTGCGAGGGGCCAGCGAAGGCGCGAGGGGCCAACGAAGGCGCGAGGGGCTGGCGACGGCGCGAGGGGCGGGCCGGCTGGTCGCGAAGGGGCCGGCTGGGCGCAAGTGGCCGGCTAGGGGGCAAGGGGCCGGTTAGGGCGCGAGGGGCCGACGGGCACACTAGGGGCCGGCTACGGCGCGAGGGGACGACGGATTCGCTAGGGGCCGGCTACGGCGCGAGGGGACGGCGGGCACGCTAGCGGCCGGCGGGCACGCTAGGGGCCGGCGGGCGTGCTAGGGGCCGGCGAGGCGCGATAGGCTAGGGCGCGGGGCGGAAGCAGGTGGGGGGGGACCTAACCTACGCATGATACCATGTTAGAATACTAGAATGATTTGAAACAAGGGAGAACAAGGGAGATATAGTGTTGGGGTTGTACCCACTAAGGACATACACCTATCTAGTCTATAACTTCTACATAACATCTTATGTATAAGTTGACAAGGTAACCCCAGCGGGTCTCTCGACACCCCCCCTTGCTGGGATACTGTAATCCCCCGGATATATGCGCATCCCTTTATTTGGCCCGTTGCGCTTATGGAGTGCAAGTGCGCTTATATCCGTTATTTCATTATAAGCGCACCCATATTTTTGAAAATGCATTTCCTATGGCGCATCACATTTTTGTCAAAACCTATATTAAACAGGGGATTTCCTTAAAATCCCTTCCATAAGTGTTGGAAATATCTCAAAGACCTGAGCGTTTCTGAAGTGTAAACACTACACTTGAGGAAAGTCATAACGGGTACGCGAGTCAACGGAGGTTACACGAAGGGGCGGACAAAGAACATGAATGGACACGAAGAGTCGCAACCGGAGGTTGCGACTGACCGTTACAACTGCAAGGATGGTAACAGAACCGTCAATCGAGTCGCTGTGCGACTCGATAAACCGATCCTTTAAACTGTATTCTACAACTGCTTTACTTTCCTACTTTCTATATATTGATGTATGCTTGTTTCTTTTAATCAATCACTTGTTCTCATATACTAGTACAAGGGTTCAACTACCTCAACTTCCGCTGCACTACTCAAGTCTTTTACAACTTGGACTTAGTCTCTGGAAAGATCCTAAGGGCATTTCTCAGCCCAACAATAAGCCCTGGGCTCATACATTTTATTCGATTACAAATGCATGGCACTTTTCTTAGGTATTTCCTATAAGCCCCTATGCGCCTATGTCCGGGGACCGGGGAATTATGGTAGGCAGGGAGGACGAACGCATCTGCAGCGCTAGCACTGGGCTGGGAATTGAACCCTAGTCACCAACCCTCTGGTACCATGTCAAAAATTCACCTATTAACCACTGAGTTAAGAGAGCTTGGCAATATTGGGTCAGTGCACCTATAGCCCCCCAGGCTCTGCACCTGTGGCCCTTCGCCGAAGATTTTCTCAAGGGTAACCCCAGCGGGTCTCTCGACACAGGCAACCCCAGAACCAATTTGGGGGCCTGACCCTGAGCAATCAGGGTACCTCAAAACCAATATGAGGCCCTGAACACAATGCACTCCTAATAAGTGTCCTCAAATATAACATTGGGTGCTATAGCCTAAACACGAAATAGAGCGCACTGTCAAACATGTCTTTTTGTTATGTTTGAATAGACTGTATAGGGTAGCCTCTTAGAGGGTACAACACTTAGCTATATTGTGTGTACTCTCCCCCTATCACTATCATTCAATTTTCTGATACGCACACCTCATTTTTTTGCCTGCATTTTCTATTGCACCACGGGTGTTATATACCAGCGATTACGGTCTGCAAACAATAGAAGTAGAGCAGCATGAGCATGATATTATCGCAACTCATTTCACAGCACAAATCACAAGTGCAACTCCGTCGAAGGGAATTGAGGGCCCGCCGTGGCAAGTCTGCAGCTAGAGCCCACAGTACCAAGCTGGCCAATCAGGTCCAGCTCCAATCCCCCACCTGCTCCCTCTTCGCCCTTCAAGCAACCACCTTTCCCCCCAACCGACAAATCACCTGTGCTTGAACTAAGAGGTCCCACATTGCTTCCTTGACGGATCGACGCAGTGGAATGTACATTCATAGAGGCAAGGGGCGGGCTCTGATACGCAGTTGCTGCAGTGGCCAGGGCAGGAACCGGTATTCCATCCCCTGCATCTGCAGTGACAGCCTGATGCATCTCACTGGATGCATGATGCATCCTGGCTCGCCAAGACACAGGAGGAGCAACAGCAGCCGAAGCAGCAGCAGTAGTACCAGCAGCAGAGCCAGCGGCGGCGGCTGTGGCGCTGGCTGTAGCGATAGCTGCAGGTGAAAAGGGTACGCCTGGGGCTGGCAGAGGTGGTGATGGGGCGGGCGGTGAGGCTAGTGGTCGGGCAGCTGCTGCGGGAGTGAGGCCGAATAGCGTAGCTGGGAGATTGGGAGACAGCATTGCCGAAAGAATGCCGGGGCCAGGAGGGGAAGGCGTCATCAATGGCTGCTGCTGCTGCTCCTGCTGCTGCTGCTGCTGCTGCTGCTGCTGCTGCTGCTGCTGGTTTTGCTGGCGAAACCATTGCAGGTATTGCATCTGCAACTGCTGCAGCTGCTGTTGCTGCAACTGCTGCAGTTCCTGCTTCTGCGATTGCTGTTGTAGCTGCTGCTGCACTTGCTCTTGGTGCTGCTGCTGAATTTGCTGTTGCTGCAGCTGCTGTTCCTGCACTCGCTCCAGTAGGCGTTGCTGCACCTGCTCTTGCAGCTGCTGCTGCAACCGCTGCTGCAGCAACTGTCCCTGCACCTGCTGCTGTAGAAGCTGCTGCTGCACCTGCTGCTGCAAACGCTGCTGCTGCTGCTGCTGATGCTGCAGCAGCATTTGCTCCTGCACCTGTTGCTGCGCCTGCTCTTGTAGCTGCTGAGCTTGCTGCATGTGAGCAGCACTGTTGGAAGCTCCTCCCCCCACCGCATTACTCGCTGCCAGGAACGGCCACCGAAGGCTATATCTTTCAACAGTCAGCGAGGGACATTCCGACTCTGCACCAGCAGTGGCTGTAGCAGCGCCAGTGGGTGTAGCAGTGGCAGACAGGTTCAGATTGATGTGTTTATTGGAGAGAATCTCACCTTTTACTGCTCCTCCTGCTCCTCCTGCTACCCCTCCCGGGCCTCGGTCTTGCAGCGATGCCACCAACGAGGCCTTACCGAGCATCTGCATCATCACCGCTGCATGGGCCGCTGCTGCTGCTGCTTGCACCGACCCAACTTGTGCACCAGCACCAGCAGCACCAACGTCAGCACCAGCACCAGCACCAGCACCAGCACCAGCACCAGCACCAGCACCAGCACCAGCACCAGCACCAGCACCAGCACCAGCACCAGCACCAGCACCGGCACCGGCACCGGCACCAGCAACATCAGCAGCAGCTACGACCGTCGCTGCTGACTCAGCAGACGCACCACCGTTGCGTAACAGCCATCCCGGGACGGCGTCCTCAGCCACATGATGCTGCTGCTGCTGCTGCTGCTGCTGCTGCTGCTGCTGCTGCTGCTGCTGCTGCTGCTGCTGCTGCTGCTGATGATGATGATGATGATATCTGCGAATCGGGTTCAGCCCAGAAATTCCCGCGCCTTCCTGCACACCTTGGCTCAATCGGAGCACTCCTCCTTCGCACCCTCTCAGCGCTCCTCCTTCACATCCTCTTAGCGCTGCCCCCGGCAGCAGCATCGCAGAATCTTCCAAGTGGAGGGCCTGCGGGCTGCCTTTGAGCCGACTCAAGAGCGGGTCCGATTTGAGCGCTGCTCGTGCTTCTGCTCGTTCTGACATGAGCGGCCAGTCCTCACTTTTGAAAGCCTGCGGGCTGCCTTGGAGCCGACTCAAAAGAGGGTCCGATTTGAGCGCGGCTGCGAGCAGGGGCGAGTCGACCGACTGCGGGCTCCAGCTGCTGCTGCTGGTGCTGGCATCCAGGAAAAGGTGCATTCTCTTGGCCGCAGCAGCAGCGGCGGTGGTGGCGGCGGCGGCGGTGGCAGCAGTGGCATCGCGCGAGTTAATATCCATCCTGGACCTCTTTTGGACTCGTTGCTCTTCCTGCCGGGGCGATCGGCAGCCGCTGCCGTTAGCAGTGGCAGCAGAACCCGGGGGGCCGGCTGAGGTTGCGCTGGTGGAGGAAGAGGCTGCTGCTGCAGCAGCAGCAGCAGCAGCAGGAGGGGTAGGAGTAGTGGTAGTAGCATACCCAAGCCGAAGGGCACACGCGCCTTTTGCCGTCTCTGTCTGTCTCGTGGAAGCACTTAGAAAGCTCCCAAAAGGCGGCGGCGGAATCTGCACGGCGCTCAGTGTGGCAGCGGCAAGACGCTCTTGCTGGGCTAGGAGGCTGCTGCACGATGACGCTAGCACCGCTGGCGCCGTTGACGCCGCCGCCGCCATTGGAGGAGGAACCATCAGGTCTATCACCCGCCGCCTTTCCTGCAGACTCTGCTGCTGCTGCTGCTGCTGCTGCTGCTGCTTCTGTTCGGCCAACTGCCGCTGGTGTAACGCATCCGTGAAATTAAAGATCCCAGTGCTGGTAGGAAGCGGAAGAGGCGGCATTGCACCCAGGTTCAACGTGCCTTTGGGTGCACGCTCACTGTTACTACCACTCCTAGCTACAACCCTTGAGCTTCCCTCAGGAGCAGCAGCAGCGGCGTTTTGGTCCCGAGTTTGGGCCACAGATGTCGGCAGCAACGGCGACGCCGACGGCGGAGGCGGCGGCGATTGCGGCGGGGCTACCGCCGCCGCCGCCGTTCCCGGGAGCTGGAGCTGCTGCGGCGGCGGGTGGTTGTGCTTCTCCCGGCACCACACGCGCCGCGGCATGAGCGTGCGGCCGCGGCGCTCGAGCACGGGAAGCGCGTCCAATAGGAACTCCTGATTGTCCCGCCAATCCAGGCCGTTAATGGCGGCATCAGCATCACCTGATGGGTCCACATGGCCATGGCCAGCGTCATCTTGATCAGCAAGAACCGGTGGCGGCGGTGACCCTAGTAGTACTAGCGGCGGGGAGTTGGCCTCCCTGGGAGCTACGCCGCCGGCGCCGCCGCATTCGCCGCCGCCAAAGCCGGCGCTCCTACTAACAGCAGCAGCAGAAGTCGCGGAGCAAGGCGGCGCATTGCTTGTGACGACAATGGGTACATTTTTGGAGGAGGAGGGTTCCTTGGGAACCTTGTCGATGATGAGCTTCGCGGGACAGCCGGTGACGTCACGCTCGGCGCAGTGGTAGTAGAACCTGCGGATTCACGATGAGGTGACGTTAGTAGGAGTTAGTACCGTCACGTTAGCGTTTATTTGGGTGGACATAAAAGCGAGACTCTCGCCGCGGCCAGATCCTTGCAAGAGCAAGGCTAGACGGTCAGAGCCTCTCTGAGGTTCAGAGCGGCGAGAAACGGGGAATACAATTTCATGTCACTCCAAAAGGCGGTGTGCTCTTAATAGTAGACATTTCATATGCCTCGTACATCAAATGTGCCGTCTTGGATTTGTTTCCCACGCGTTCGTCACAAAAGCAATCACCTTTTCGCGTTTTGCGAGACGAGGAACTTCTGTCCGTATTTCTTCCACTGATACGCAGCCTTCTCTTCCGTGCCGTTTTTCCCGCCGCTCCCGCCATCATTGCTTCCTAAGATCACCATCGCTAACAAAACTTTGGTTTCGCCGTAGCCAAAAGCGGCCCACAATGGCGTTTATTACACTACTTAAATTGTAATAGCAGAAGTAGCGAACGCTGTGGATGCTGTTTGTGGAGGGAGACATGCAAACCCAGGATTCTCGTGGCTCAGCTTCTGGGAGGGAACAACTAGGACGATTTCCTGAAAAGGGACACCTTGAAGTTCAACGCAACACGCGGCAATTGGCATTCACTAACCAGAATCCATGATGTCGCCGAAACTGACTCAGATTGTGGAAAGTAGGAAACCCTGCAGGTGCACTGATACAGGGACTCTGTCCCTGCTCAACAGGATTGGACTGAGCATTTGATTGAGGGGGGGACAGGCGGAAGAATGGGACACAAGCGGGGAGGACCCTCCACTCCAGCGCTGGTGGGGTGTTGGTTGGATAGGATACAGTCCGCCCAGTTAGGGGGAGTGGCAGGCAGGCTGAGCTTTGTGTGTGGAGGAGATCCATCCTGCGCATGAGTTTCAGGGCAGGAGGGGTAAAGGCAAGGAGACTCAGGGGACTGGACTCGGGGGGAGGGAGGAGGCTTGGACTGGATGGGACAGACACAGGCAGAGAAGGAAAGGCAATCCCTAGGGTACAGTGCACAACAGAACTGTTCAGGTGTGCAATGTTGTACTGTACGTGTATTTTTTCCTCCCTCGATTCGCGTTGCGGAAAGAAAGAATGCCTGCGGCGGCTCTGCGCTACGTGCGGGCAGGACGTCTGGCGGGCGGTGATGGTGCTGCTGATTTGGGGGAGACCCGGACAGCTATGCGGAGCGGAGCTGATGGAAGGGGAGGCAGATGCAGCGAGTGGCCAATGCCAGCTTCGCGACAAGCAGTTGAGATCCGACCCTTGAAGGCCAAGGACCATCTTGTGTAGCTGGCCTGCCAACTAGGCTTGTGGCATGTGTATGGGATGGGATGCTCTACCCGACAATCAGAGCATACAGCGAAGATAAAAAAAACTCCCCGTTAAGCTTCTGAAAAGTGGAAGTATTTTGCCTGTGAAGGCTTCAATTCCTGTAAGTTGTGGAGCTGGTGTGGTTAGCTAAGCAATGTCTACACTAGGTGTCCACGGAGTACCGGAATATTGACCGAGCTCATCCCCCAACATGAGCCCATACGGTACCAATCACGGGAAACGGCCCTTTCACCTGATGGCCCATTCACGGGGGTCTTGTGGCACCCGCGACAGGACGGCGGCGAAAGTGTCCATGCAAAGGAGCTCGCGAAAGCACACAAGTGTCCACTTGACAGCCCATTCTCCCGTGGCGAAGACAGGCGCAAAAAGTGTGCGCATTACGCCCACGCGGTTTGTTAAAACTGACAACTGAACGATGCGCACCCGGTGTACAAGCTGTACATCGTATTTCTAAGGCTGAAGTGTGGTCAGGTGCAGCATTCCGCCCTTCAGAAGATCGCCAACAGAACATTGCTAGAATCGCGCGAATCGAAGTGAACTGCGCTCAGAGGCATCCTCGTCATCGGATATGCCAACCTTGGAGTTGGCACGGGAAAGTGCTGTGCTTTACTACCTGCCCCCGAAAATGGGGCATTTCTTGCGTCCTAAATCTTTTCTGATTCCTGAACAACATCAGGATTTCCTGCGCCAAAATTCAACGACACTGCTCCCAAGCCCTTCAGCCTGTCGAGTCTATTTACTTCACGTCTCTGGAAATATGACGCAGAGTCCCCTAAATAGTCGGCGGGAAATAGCGAACTGTAACTAGTGTACACAGTTCATTGTCTGTCGCTTTTTGGAGGGTGGTTAAGCGGAGTGCAAAATGCCCAGAGCGACTGACAGAGACTCTGGGGAGGCTTTCGAGCGGCTGCACACAGCACACCAACGAGGGTCAGACGGATCGGCTGAAGATTTTTGAAAGAATGCCACGGCACCCAGCGCGAATGCTGCTCCTGAACGCGACGCTTCACCTGTTGTTAGTTTCTAATGTGGGCAATGCGGGCAAGGGCAGCTATTCTGGATGTGTATTGAATTGGGGACGTCTTTTCAGTCATCATGTAACATAAAGAGTTCAGACCAAATCTCCTTGCGGTTGAGGGCAATGTGATATTCAACCCTGAATGCAGAAGCAGTAAAGATAGAATGGATGTGGAGTCCATTGGCGGAGAGTTGATAGTACCTACCCCTTCCTCTCCCTCTCTTAGCGAACAGCTACAGTAACTCTTCCGATCGGGCGTACTAGGATCTGGTGTTGAGAGTAGCCCTTTATTGTTAACATGTTGCCTTGGAAGTCTCTGGAACCCATGCCATCTTTGAAGAAAAGGGTGAATATCACCCTGAAAAGGCGAAGTTCGAACCAATTTGAAAGGGTGTTCCAAACTCAAACATAAGCCTACTGAGGACGTGAAACAAAGTTGGTCGCGGTTCCGCCTTGAGTGAGTGGTGTCGTCATTGGGTAGGACAAAACCGTGAAAAAATGATATGGCGGGTGTACACCATGCCTTCGTTCAGCACAGAACCTAACTGGTGTGTGTCCTTCCCTGGTGCACACATCTGTACGCCCTTGTCCATAGGTGACAAAATCAAATCAGTGATATGGTTGGTGTACGCCACGTCAATTGCAGTAGTACAGTAACAGTTTTCTCCTGCTTCTCTGGAACACCTGGCCTGATCACTGCAATCCTCCTACACTTCAGCGGGCTCGGCGTAAAATATATAGACTGGCTAACGGAAGTTGGCCTCACACTGCTAGGCCGTGGGTTGTGCAAAGAGCTGGAGGTGGTTCTCAAGCTCGGTTAACTGAATGCGTGTCAGACTATGCGACGGCCACGATATTTATACATCAGCATCGATGCTTATTCCTGCGATGAAAGACCTCCACTCATAAAGTCTGATACGTGTTTAAAATAAGCCCTCAAAGATGAATTCTTCTCACGTGGTGCTTGAAATCTATATGGGTGCTGAGAATTTCCGCGTTGCGTCAGCAGACAGAAATCTGAGCTTACCGACAAGTGGATCGCAGCCATGTCGCCTGCTGCAGCATCAACAGTAGCAGCATCTACAGCTCATTCTGGTTTGCTGACGTGGATGGGTGCTTCTGTAGGGTGCTCACTGCTCGGCTCACCTTCCAGAATCCACTAGAATCGGAGGAAACGACTACATTTTACCCAAATAAGTCGTTAGACAAACATCTACCAGAAATCTGAACAGTTTGAAAACAGTGCCAAATCTTGCAGGTCGCGCTGACGTTGTCAGCATGCTGTCGAGAGAACGACGCGCAAGTGACGTTTACGAACTATCGTTTCTCGACTTTCTTGTTGTACAGTTTGTCCAGTATAAGACACAGACAAAATAATAACTCGCGCCTTGATTCCATTGTTCAAAGCAGTGTTTTGGCAGTGACAAAAAATATGAATACCCTTAGGGCACCCGCAAACGACTCGGGAGGCATCAACCCTAAAATCGTAAACTATTCCGCGTGTTAAGGGTTACCCGTCCCGAACGGCATGGGGGTTCCCGAAGGGTTATGTTTTTTCCGTTAAGACTAAGTCCTGATTTTCCGTAGGCGACCCACAATTCTTACTGTCGTTTGCAGCGAGTTTCCGGTTGGAAAATGATCAGAAAGGGTCCTCGCTCTGCCAGGGGTGTGAGCAAGAAAGGTCCGTCTACCCCGGAGCCTGAAATACACTCCATTTTATTTTTAGTACTTACTAGTAGACGTTTATCAACGAAAAGGCAAAAACATAAAACCCATTTGGGACCGAATTCCGTTCGAGATGGCATCAACCCCAAACACGCAGCTCTTGTGCAATTTTAGGGTTCATGCCACCCAGAATCGCATGTGAGGGCCCTACGGGTTTTTGGTATTGTTTTAATGCCCTAAAACATTGTTCGTATAAATGTCCCACCTCACAGGGTCACGATACGACACGCCCTATAAACCTGAGCTGTGTCGCAAGCCAGAAATATTTACGTGTTTTACGACAAAGGCAATGTATCACAGGTTCGGAGGCAAGGTCTCTGGGCAAAAAGCCGCCGGACCTTTTTTGCTCACGCCTCTGGCGGGGCGAGGACCCTTTTTCATATAATTTCCCCTTCCGCTTTGGTCCTGAAGTTGAACAGTTGTATGGGTAAATTTAATGTGCATCGGGAACAAGTCGTCGCTGTACGACAGCTGGACAGAAAGCGACATGATTTCAGGCAGATTCGTAGATGTTTTGGATTTTGATACATTTTTGTCTAACAAATTGAAATATGGGTAAAGTTTAGTCGTTTCCTCCTATAATCGAAGAGTGGATGGATGGCTGGATGGATGGATCGATCGAAGTGACCCATCAATGCCAATGACGCGTTGTCCTTGTGGCATTCATGCACGACCAAGGAATGGATGACGCGCCTGGTCTGGTCTGGATTCTGTCAGCACCGCAGGGCTGAATTCCCAAACCAGCCGTGACGCGGTACAGAGAGAGACCCAGGCTCTGTTCGCTGGCCGCGAGAGTGGCACCCGAGTCTGTTCTGGGTTGCCCCAAGCGTGACATGCACAGTGGCCAACTTTCCGAACTAGACCGAGCTAAAGACAGCAACCACCTGTGCATCCAATTTGCCAATGACAGCTGGGAATATAGACAGCTGTATTAAATGCGGAAACTGGGTTACAGCTAAAGAAAATTGCAGAGAGAAACTGTAAACTTGAAGGCCCATGTTCACGCTTAGGTAGGGTTGAAACCGTTACACTCCATAAAATTCGTGACAGTAACCTGATTTGTACCAGTAACACCTTGTTTAAGGTCTCGCCAGGACACGAAACAAACTGACGCGTAACGTGGGACACCCTTCACATGCGTCGGTCCATGTACCAGATTTCGGATTGGTAACGTAAAAAAGCCGTGAAGTGCAAGATTTGGGGACAGAGCTCCAAGTGTGTCACGCCTGGATTTCGCCCCGCTGGATGTGGCGAAATTCAGGAGACGTCGCCAGCGCATCTGCGCGCGAGATGCCAGACCGCATCCGCGACCGAACCCGCCACAAGTTGAGTGTCTCTCTCGCGTGTGGCTGTGGTGATTTTCCCCGCCTGCTGTATTTTACGCGTTGCGAAACAGATGTTTCGCGCAGGTATACATTTGGTAACTGCGTTTTGGGCCGTTGCGCGCCGTTCGGTTTTCTCACATCTCGACAATCGGCGTCCCACTTGTGTGCTACGTGCGAACAGGGACACAGTTTCTGGTGTTTACGAATTCGGAGTCGTTTCATGGATCTGTACCCGGGTTCGTAAAATCGTGTCCCGGACCCCGAAATGAACTACTGGATCCGCCTTAGAAAACATGTACGAGTTTTGGAGAAATGCATGCAACCCTGCCGATATTCATCAGACGGATTCCCCCAAACGACGATTCAGAAAGAAAATCGAATTAAAACAAATAAAAATAGGGAGAAAAACGAACCACAACCTCTGACAACATAGGGAAAGGCTGCATGGGGTAAACGTGATGTTTGGACTCTAGTCTGCCCATAACATCACGCTTTTCATTCCGAGCTGAGTCGCTCAGGGAATCTCACCTAGTGGCAATCAGGTTATTTGCAAAATTGCCTGTGATTCACTGCTGCTGCGCAAGTGGATCCTCTGTTTCCGACATAGAGCTGAGTGCGGTCCGAGAAGCAACCCTCATGAAGAAATTTCCCCTCCAAACCTGGCAGCCCCGGACAGATTCGGCACGTTGCATGGGGTCTTTCATGCGATTTTTTTTGTTCCGAACCTGTTTCCCGCCGGCGCGCTCTATTTTCAGACTCAGTTGCTACTTGGTTGCCACTAGACTCAGCTGCTAACGAACAGGGCCGTAGAGCTTTCCAAATTGCAGTTCTGTCATCCACTCTCATCGATGAAAGAATGAATCGTGGCCGTTGTCATCCGTTTGTACGCCAATCGACGGGCGATACTTGTTTTTTCATCGACGGGCAACTGAACTTCAAATCTAGTCTATCCCAAACAGGTAGTTCGTATCCAATATACAAAAGTACATCAAAGGGCTTATATTTATTTGTTAGTATGTCGGGTCAAGCTATGTTCTATGCAATGCCGTTCATGACTTCCACAATATAGGCCATTTCAATACAAAAACATAACATTCTTCCCTATAGGATGCACAACTCACTCAATCCTTTAATCATAACACCAATTTCACAAAACGAATCTCCGGAAACTTGTCTTTCAAGGCAGCCTGTATTCCCATGGCCATGGGTGGTGGACCCTCGAACCGCACTTCACAAGAGCCCCTTACAATGTCGAGAGAAACGGCAGTGGCTGATGCCCCGTACTTGTTCAGTGTGGGTTGGAGGACGACCGACAGATGATTCTCCACAGCCTGTAAGAAGGCAAAACGAGAACAAGAGGGAAAAGGAAGAACGGCTCAAGAGTACGGCACGACGTCTTTAACAGGACGGAGGATCGAGCAGTGAGAAAGAGAATTTGGTGGTATGACTTGGAGCAAGACAAGGATGATAGGACATAGAAGTTATAAGAATTACGAAGACAGCAGACCCACATTGCATGTTCTGCTACAATCACCATTTCAGCACGACTGTGAATGTGCCAGTAACCTTCCAGCGAGACAGCATCTGTGGTGCTTACAGCGTGCGGGATGTGCGTGTGTGCTTACAACAGAGCGCGAGTGGGTCTCCGTGCATACAGCGAGAGTGAGGTAATCTGTCTTGTGTTCCTACAGCGAGCGTTAATCTGTCTTGCGTGCTTACAGCGAGGGTAAGTCTGTTGTCAACTCCGCCCAGCTGCATGACCTCCTTCAGCCGCTTCCCGAATGCATCCTGCAGCGCCCTCTCTATCCCCATCTTCATGGTTGCTGCTGAGCTGGGGCACGTGTTACAGGCACCTGAGGCAGTGAGATGGGGGAACGCAGGACATGGCTTTTTAATTTGGGTCTAAGCGCATCCTGCAGCGCCCTCTCTATCCCCATCTTGATTGTTGCTGCTCAGCTGGGGCACGTGTTACAGACACCTGCGGGGAGGAGCAGGGGGGGTGAAAAAGAGACGACTCGTTCAGCCGGGTCGAATGCATCCTGCGGCGCCCTCTCTATGCCCATCGTCGTCGTTGCTGCGGAGCTGGGGCACGTACTACAGGCACCTGAGGTGGGGCAGCGGGGGGAATGAAAAGGAGGTGACTTGCTGAGCCGGCTCAAATGCATCCTGCAACGCCCTCTCTATCCCCACCTCCAGCGTTGCTGGTGAGCTGGGACACGTGTTACAGGCACCTGGAAGAAGAAGGAGGGGGGATATAGAACAGCGAGTCGTTCTTTGGGCTCATCTTACTTACTGAACTGTGTGCATGCGAGTATGCTATTGAGTCGACTAAAAGAAAGGAAAGAGCGGGCATGTAAAATAGTGATATTTTCGGAGCCCTGCAAGATGTGCACTGCAGTGGCTGAAACCTAAGAAGTCAGTATTCTACATCCCCTAGGAACCTACAAGAACCTTGCAGCTGTAGCAGCAGTGCGGCGGCACTCCATGTTTATTTTGAGTTGACTCAAGATACACCTAAGAAGTCAGTATTCTACATCCCCTAGGAACCTACAAACCTTGCAGCTGCAGCTGCAGCGGCACGGAGGCACCACCACCACCACCACCTCCACAACCCCCCCATCCGTCACCAGGCACAGCCACACTCGGGTCCAACAGAGAGAGGAGAAGGTGTGTATGCGTGTGCCCACGCGCCTGTGTGTGTGTGTCGATGCGCATGCGCGTGCATGTGTGTGTGTGTGGATGCGCATGCGCACGCATATGTGTGTGCGTGGATGCACATGCGCACGCATGTGTGCGTGTGTGGATGCGCATGCGTGCACATGTGTGTGTGTGTGGATGCGCATGCGCGCGCATGTGTGAGTATGTTTTTGCTATGCAAATCCGTACCGTGCGGCTGCAGGATAGCAACGCCATTCTCTACCGCCTTCACCTCCAGATCGCCCCCATCCTACACCGGAAAAGGCTTCACTCCGTCCGACATTGGCCGTGCGTGTGTGTGCATGCAATTTGCGTGCGGGCGTGTGTTCTTAGTTTGTGAAGTCTCACCGTGCAGCTCCAGGATCACAACGCCATTCTCCACCGCCTTCACCTCCACATTGCCCCGCCACCAGGTTCGGTCGCACTCGGTCCAACAGTGTAAGTGGGTGCATGCGTGTGTCCATATGCATACGCATGTGCATGTGCATGAGCATTCGTTCTGTGAGGTCTCACCTTGCAGCTGCAGGATAACGACGCCATTCTCCACCGCCTTCACCTCCACATTGCCCCCATCCGCCACGAGGTACGGTCGCACTCGCTCCAGCACCCGGTCCGCCGTCTCAACCGTCAGCTCCATCTCACCCTCCTCCTGCTCCGCCTCTCCGCCCCCCCTGTTGCCGGCAGTGCCTGGGCGTGCGAAGGGGCTAACTATGGGTGCAGCGGAAGGGGGAGCTGAGGGAGCTGAGGTTACTGCTGCAACAGCTGCTGCTTTTTCCGCTGCTGTTGGTACTGTTGCTTCCTTTGCTGCAAAAGTGTTCGCAGTGGAGCAATCTCTGGCTGAAAGCGTTTCTTGCGTCTGCCCGTGAATCACAGAGCTCCAATCATCACCCTCCGTGGCCTGCCGTAAAGCCAATCGAACAATGTGCGGGCAGATAATGGGATTTTTGTAACATCTCGTACAATGCAATGCCTTGTCATGTCATGCCATGTCTTGTCGTGCCATGCCCCAGCCATCTCCCCTCCCCATATCCCGCCAAATCCCACCATCCTACAAGCCTGCAGCAGCTGCAGTCTCAGCCTCTCACTCTCCCCATTGCCCAGCACCACCGCACCCCACCCAGCACAACCCCAGTCCAGTGATTCACAAAACACTCCACTGTCCCACTATTTCCCACCACCCCATAACTCCGTCTCACCTGCAGCAGCTGCAGTCTGCGCCTCTCACTCTCCCCGTCTGCGCCCTCCCCCTCCACCTTCCGCCTGTACTCCTCGTCGTCCATCAGGTTCTCCCCCATCGCCTTGCGCATCCGCAGCCGCCGCTCCTCCTGCTCCGCCCTCTCCCCCTCGCTCAGCTCCCCCCCCTCCGCCGCCGCTGCTGCTGCCGCGCCCACCTGCGCGCCCTGAGCTTCCCATCGTGCGAAACTGAGGGGGAAGGGGAAGGGGGAGGGAGGGGAGGAGGGGGAAAAGGGGGAAAGACAGCAGGCGGACTAGTTGAAAGGGGGGTGACGGATGGGATGGGATGTGATGTGATTGGATGAATGAGATGGGATGGGATGGGATGTGATGTGATTGGATGAATGAGATGGGATGGGATGTGATGTGATTGGATGAATGAGATGGGATGGGATGTGATTGGATGAATGAGATGGGATGGGATGTGATGTGATTGGATGAATGAGATGGGATGGGATGGGATGTGATTGGATGAATGAGATGGGGTGGGATGGGATGTGATTGGATGAATGAGATGGGATGGGATGTGATGTGATTGGATGAATGAGATGGGATGGGATGGGATGTGATTGGATGAATGAGATGGGGTGGGATGGGATGTGATTGGATGAATGAGATGGGGTGGGATGGGATGTGATTGGATGAATGAGATGGGATGGGATGGGATGTGATTGGATGAATGAGATGAAGTGGGATGGGAGGGATGGGTGGAACAGGAAGTGATGCAAAGGATTCAGAGGGTGGCGATAAGCGAAGGGCACTGGGAAGAGGGGAGAGCAGGAAGTAGAAGGAGAGACGCGATGGGAAGGAGAAAGGAGGGAAGGGGAGACACGATGCGGAGGAGAATGCGGAGAAGGGGACTTGGACTGGGAGCTGGTAGGAGCGTTACGGAGAAAACGTACCAGAACAAGAAACACCGAGCACCGTGCTTACCTGCTGGTCTGCATAAAACTTTCGTCCTGCCCGAGCTCCTTCAACCACAGCCTTCTTTCTCCTTCCAGCACTGCCCGGGAGAGCATTGAATCTGCCCGATACACCTGCACTCTCACCGATCTGCACAGCCCGTCGCCCAGAGCTGCTCTGTGGCCCTGCGGAGGGGAAGGAGAAGAGTCGGAAGAGAGGGGAAGGGTCAGCGGAGGGGAGACGAGTCAGCGGAGAGGGGACGAGTCAGCGGGGAGGGGAAGGGTCAGCGGGGAGGGGAAGGGTCACCGGAGAGGGGAAGGGTCAGCGGAGAGGGGAAGGGTCACCGGAGAGGGGAAGGGTCAGCGGAGAGGGGAAGGGTCAGCGGAGAGGGGATGTGGGACATGGAGTATTGAAATGCGCTCGATAAACCCGACTCGAGACGCATGTGCCCCAGTCTCTCGCCCTCTACACCACCGCGACCGCTGAATTTGGAGGCTAACTCACCTTGAGCTCAGCGCGCTTCAGCTCACCTTGAGCGACACCACGATGTTGCGCGAGTAACCCACGTACTGGAGCGCGCCCGCCCCGTCATACACGGCGTAGATCCCTGCCAGCTTCTGCAGCTCGCGCGCCGCCACGTAGTCCTGCACCGGGGTCACCAGCGTGCCGTCGTCCTCGCCGGGGCGAACAGTGTAGGCGGATGAGGCTGCCTCGTGGACGTCTGATGGGATGCCCGGTGGTTAGGGGAAGGGGAAGGAGAGCAGAGACGAGCGGGCATCAGCTCCATCAGCTCCTGCAGCTCGCGACGCCACGTGGCCCTGCATGGGTCACAGCAGCGAGCTGTCACTCCTCGCCGGGGGAAACGGCGTGGATGGATGAGACTGCCTCGTGAACGTCTGATGAGGGGGAACGATGGGGATAGGCGGAAGGAGGGAGATGACGAGAGGTATACGGGCAACCAGGCATCAGCTTCTGCACCTCGCGCGCTGCCACGTAGCCCTGCGTGGGTGACAGCAGCGAGCCGTCGCTCCTCGCCTGGCGAACGGTGCTTGCGGTCAGATAAGGCACCGTTAACCAACCCGAGGTTCACGCACCCTCCGAGCCTTCGCCGTAGAGGAAGTCATGCAGCCCTCTGTGTCTTTTGGGTCGAGTCCGAGTCCGTCATTACCGCAACGGGGCTACTAGCCCCCGACGCTGCCTCTGGCGACGGAAATGCCTCACGTGTCAATCTGACCTACCTAGGGCATGACCTACCTTCGGAGCCTTCGCCGTAGAGGAAGTCATGCAGCCCTCTATGTCCCTCGGGGACCGTCGCGTCCGTCATTACCGCCACGTTGCCGATCCCCGACACGCTACTAGCTACGTTATTAGCCACGCTACTAGAAACGCTAGTCCGTGCCGATGTAGTCGGCGACGACGACGATTCATTGGTTGCCTCGCGAGGTGCTGACGAATCCGCTTGGACGACTACAAGCCGTGTTTGGTTCGAAATTATTGTTGCGAACTTTCTATGTCCAAGGGATTTTAGCTGAGACGCAGTGAAAAGTGGCTGAGCGGTGATGGTACGATGAAATTGGATGTGGTGTACTCTAGGCGTCGTGGTAGCTGCGGACATTGCGCGAAGGTGAGACATGGCGGAAATGCAGCTCTCGCTTATAGCCACCATGGTCGACGAAGAAAAAGGTCAGCCCGACAGCAGTAGTCAGAGGGAGTAACGCGAGAGGCGGTCTAGCGAGTGATCGATGCGGCGAACAATGATCGAGAGGAACTTCTTAGTAGGAGCGTTCTAAGAGCAAAACGTCTATCGACGGAGGATATCAGCCTGCTGCAGACGAACCGAGTTTGGCTTGGGTCTAGGTGCAGCGGGATGGAAATAGAATTCCAGGTTCAGGAATCAGGGGAATCAGAAACGTCTGGCTTGGGAAATAGCAGCCATGGGAAATGCACTCGTGGAGCTCGGGGTGAAGCAGTAAGGACGAAGACACGAAGGCAAGAGATTCCGTAGACCCTACGTAACCGCTGTAGTTGCCTGCGAACCGTATTGAAACGCATACCGCTATAGTGGACCGCAAGAAAACGACCTCTCCTGCGACAAAGCTTGAAGCAGAAGCCCATCTGATCTAGCAGAGGGGTCCCTCCCTTGCCCCATGTCGAGTCGGGTCAACGTCGAGTGACATCCTGGTTGGACTGCTACGTCAGCAGCGCGGGGAATGCTCACCACCAGTAACCAATCGGTGCGAGATGTTTGGATTCCGTTTCGTTTCGCGATTGGGAGGTGTGGCTGCCGCATCCGGGGGGCCTGAACTTGGCTCGGGTTTGGTTCGTGGCATCCCTTCGGGGAGGAGGAGTCAAGGTCCACGTCGGCTTGATGCCACGTGCTCAGAACGTGGCACTGAGAAGAAATGAGCACGGATATGGTACGCGATTGAGTTCAGGTCGTTATTAATAACGAAAAGACGTTGATAGATTTGATCCAAGACATAACCATCAAAACTAGCCTCCCCACCCCACCCCCACTCCCCTCATCAGTTGAAGCCAGGAGCCCACAAAAAAATGTCTGCACGATTTCGTAGTGAACCATCACTAGCACCAGTCAACTTTAGGGATGAGGATCCGCTAGTAGCCTATACATGTTTGCACGATTCTCGTTAACGTAGAGTAATGGAGAAGGGTCGAGTGGTGGTGTTGGACAATGGAGGGGCCACTTGCAAAATAGGCTTCGGGGGGGAGGCGGAACCGGTGAAGGTCATACCCAACTTCGTAGCCAAGGCCAAGGGACTAAAGCGGCCCTTTGTGGCTGACCTAGTCGACACGTGTCCAGACATCAAGGTACTCGATCGTCCAGCTGGCAGCACGCAATTCCGCCTTTCGCGAAACTCTTCGCGTTGTACTTATGAAGCCCCTTCTAATCCTCTTGTCGCTGCGTCGTGCACCCATCTAGGGTTTGGGCGTGCTGCGGCCCGTTGATCGCGGCTACGTGGTCAACTGGGACCTGCAGCGCTCCATCTGGGACCGAGCCTTCTCCGGTATTCTCAAGGTAGGCTCTTCCGTTCTGCATTGCCACCGTTCGACCTGAGTTTGTCGTTTACACATCTAGGATTCGAGCATGCTGAGACCCGTGGACACGGACGGGGCTACATTCCACCTCAGTTTCCCTTCGCCCCTCCTCTCTTCACCTTCCCCAGTTGCAGCCGTCCTCTTCCTCCCCACTGGTTTCAGAGCAGCTGTTCAACATACCCTCCATCCTCCCAATTCTTACCCCAATTTCATTCCCCTGTCCACCTCCCCCAGGTGCAGCCGTCCTCCGCCTCTCTTCTGGTATCAGAGCCGCTGTTCAGCCTGCCGTCCATCCAGCGATCCATGGACGAGCTGGCCTTTGAGCACTTTGGCTTCCGGTCCTACCTCCGGGTCCCCGCTCCTGTGCTGGCGTACAGGTATGAGGTATGTGAGTGGCGGCATGTGGTGGATTTGCACTCTTTTTCCTCTCCTCTCCTCGCCTCCTACTATCTCACGTTCTCGTTCTCCTCCCCCACACGCACGTTCTCGTTCTTCTGGCACCCACCCACCCACCCACCCACCCACCCACTCATCCATCCATGTCTTTCCTGTGTGTCTCGCTGCATCAGGGCAGTCTTCCACCCTCCTGGACTCCCCGCCACGCCACCATGCTTTTGAGTCGACGCAATGGCGTCCTCGTTTTTATGCAAGTTCTCCTTTCTTCCTCCTCTGTGTCTCGCTGCATCAGGGCAGACTTCCACGCTCCTTGACTCCCCGCCACCTCCAATGCCGTCATCACTTGCCTCATCATCGGCCGTCTCTGCCAGCTCAGCATCCGCAGCTGCCAGCTCAGCGATGGCTCTACAGGCGGGCTGCGGCCTGTTGGTGGATGCTGGCTTCTCCTTCACGCATGCCGTGCCCATCTGGAACAACAAACCGCTGCTGCACGCTGTCAGGTGAAACAACAGATGATTTACTGTAGCATGTCAGGTGCAAACAACAGACGTCAGGTGTGAACAGCCGACTGTTTCCGCAGGTTACAGCTCAAGTCCTGTGGCAATAACATGGGTCCTGAAGACTTTCCCCATTGGGACCCCTGCCATACTCTCTTCTCTTCCCCCCAGGCGCATGAACGTGGGCGGCAAGGCGCTGACCAACGTGCTCAAGGAGGTGGTGTCGTACCGGGCGTGGAACATGATGGACGAGACGCTCATCATGGACCACGTCAAAGAGTCCATGTGCCTCGTCTCGCTCTTCCCCACGCGCCACCTCCCCTTGGCCAGGTGAATCCTCAGGTGGTGTGGTGGAGGGTGTGTTAGTCCAGGTGAACGTAAAGGTAGGTTGCCTGTGGGCTAATGGATTTAGCTGTTGCGTGTGGACGGGCAGGTGAGGTTTCAAGTAGATGTGAGCGACTAGGTAAGTCTTACACATGGTTTGGTGAATGGCCTTGAGTTATTTGTTGAAGAATGGCCATGAGGTGTTAGGGCAATCTTATTTCTTGGTGTCTGTCATAGTTGTCCTACTCTCCCCACCCCCGCTCCCTTGTGTACCCTCACTGCAGGAAACGGGATACCGGCAACATTTTCCGGGTAGAGTACTTGCTGCCCGACGGGGTCACACTCCAGCGCGGGCAGGTGAAAGACCCTGCGGCAGTATTGCTGGCAGTGAAGGCACAGGAGGCCCTTTGGGAGCAACACAGAGAGGAGGGGGAGAGGGAGGAGGCAGTATTAAGGAGAGGAGGAGGAGAGGGAAGGGAAGTAGGAAGAAGAAAAAAGGGCGGTGACAGACATGAGGGTAGGAAGAAGTCTGGGAGCAATGAGAGGGTCGGGAAAAGAGAAGAGGGCGGAGAGGGCGAAGAGAGAGGGAGGAAGAGAGGGAGAAGGGGGGGGGAGGGGGAGCGGGAGGAGGAGAGTCAGGAGCAGGAGCAAGGGGGTGGTGGTGGTGGTGGTGGTGGTGGTGAGCAGGATGAGGAGGATGACGAGGACGAGGAGGATGAAGACTGGGATGAGAGGGCAGGGCGAGGCAAGCCCGGTGCTACTGCTGGTGGTGGGGCGAGTGCTGCTGCCATACCACCACCAGGTGACAGTGGCAGTGCCCGGCGAATGGCGGGCAGCAGAGGCACTGCAGGCGGCGGTGGTGGTTCGGCCAGCAGGGATGGAGGAGGCGGCCAGCAGCCGGTGGGTGGGCGGGTGGGCGGGTGGGTGGGTGGGTGGGCAGGTGGGTGGGTGGATAGCTGTTACAGCAGCAGGAGAAGTTCGGGAAGCAGAGAAGCTATCTCACACTTTTCCTTCCTGCACCTATTAGATGCCAGTGCCTCCCTCCCCCCCCCCTCTACTGCCACCCCCCCTCCCCCCTTTTTTCCTCTCTCCCCTCCTCTTCCTGCCGCCCCCGCCTTCACACTTACTTTCTCCCCACCAGGAACTATCCCTAGCCTCAGAGCGCTTCATGGTACCCGAAGGCCTCTTCCACCCCTCCGACTTTGGTGAGCCGCCACTGATTGCTGCTGGGTTGCAGCTGGGTTGCAGCTGGGTTGCTGCTGGGTTGCAGCTGGGTTGCTGCTGGGTTGCAGCTGGGTTGCTGCTGGGTTGCAGCTGGGTTGCAGCTGGGTTGCTGCTGGGTTTTACTCGTCGCTGTTCCCACCTGTCCGTGTCCTTGTCACGCGTCCTTGGCCAATCTCATTGCTGCTTGCATGGCTATTTACAACGCATTCCGCCTCTCTGCTATCTACGGCCAACCATCCCTTTTGCAGCTATTCCTTCTACGGGCCACTGCTATTTGCGATCCAGGTCATACCCCTCGCTTGCAACAACATTCCCACATTTGAGGCGCCTCAAAGATAGACTCCGTCTACCTGCCACCGCTATCCGTGATCCCGGTCATACCGCTCGCGATGAGGCGCCTCAAAACTAGACCTCGGTCATACCCCTGGCTTGCAATGCAACAACGTTCCATTCCCACCCTCCCCTCAAAAACTTTTGCCAGGAGTGAACCAAGCAGGTTTGGCAGAGACAATTGTGGCGTCCGTGTCTGCTGCTCCTAGAGTCATCCACCCGCTGCTCTTCTCCAAGTGCGCTCGCTCACTCGCCTCCCTCGTCTCTCTCGTCTAATGCGTCTCTTCACTTCCCCTCATCTCTTTTTGAGCGTCTCATATTTTGTGTCTGCTGCTCCTTGAGTCGTCCAACTGCTGCTCTACTCCTAATGCTCTCGCCTCCTTCTCCTTTTCTAAGGTGTTTTTATTCTGTTATAACTTACAGCGTTACTTCTATCACTCCCTTGTTGCACACTCTCCTATCCTTTTCATTTCAAAGAATGTAGAAAGCCCAGCTTTATTGTAGTCACCGCTTGCTCATCCGCCCTCGTTCCACTCCCCAATGCACGTGATCAGCCACCTGGCAGCATCGTTCTGGTGGGCGACGACAACTGTCAGTTCCCCTTCGTCCGCCTCCCTTCCTGCAATCGCCCTTCTACCTCCCAACCTAACTCACTTCCTCTTCTTCTGCTATGTACCTGTCCCAACTACCTGTCCTCCTTACCCTATGTGGCAGCCTTTTTCTGGTGGGCGACAACTCTCACTTCCCCTTCGTCCGCCTCCCTTCCTCCAATCCCCCTTCTACCTCCCAATTCACTTCACTTCCTCTTCTCCTAATTACCTGTCTGAATTACCTGTCCAAATTACCTGTCCTGATTACCCGTCCTGATTATCCGTCCTGATTACCCGTCCTTACCCCGTCTGGCAGCATTGTTCTGGTGGGCGGCAGCTGTCAGTTCCCCTTCTTCAAGGAACGCCTGTAAGAACATGCTAATGAATCCGTTTTACCTTCACCAGTTAGCCCCTGATTTTAGTCGGCTCAAAAGTCACCTCGTTCTGGTGAGCGGCAGCTGTCAGTTCCCTTTCTTCAACGACTGTAAGAAAGAACATGCCAGCGGATCCGTGTTACCTTCACCAGTTAGCCCCTGATCTCAACCTAGCGTGGTGTTACTGATGTCAATGTGTCCTCACGCCATGCCACGTTATGTCATCTCTATCCCCATTCCAACCCACTCCCCCCCCCCCCCCCCCAGAACCGACCAACCCGCCCCTCACCCAGCCTCTTCCCTCCCCCCCAACCCCCACGCCCCCTCTTCCCCCCCTCCCCCCTGTTTGCACCGTTCCCCCCTGTTCGTGACAGTGAGTTGGAGCTCCGGCCTCTGGTGCCCGACTCCCTACCCATCCACATCTCTCTCTCCCAAAGGTGGGTGGGTGCATGTATGTACGCTGCATGCGAGTGAGGTGCTTGACCCCATCCCATGCTCTCTATACTTCCATGCATACATACAGAGAGGCTTGCATGGGAGGTTCTGAGTGTTGGACTGGCGTGTGCCATGCTGGTGCAATTGACCGGATGATATCTTCACAGCTTTTCGGCTCCAAGTGCCTGCACATGCTCTGTGCATGCGTGTGCGTCACTAATGTTGTTGCAAACTAAATCTCACATTTGTCTGTGTATGTGTTGCGCATTTATTGAGCAGCCCTGTGGTGAGTGCATGGAAGGGCGGTTCCAACCTGGTCAGATCAGGAGAATTCGCACGCAGAGCAGTCACCAAGAAGCAGTATGAGGAGCTGGGTTTTGAAAGATGTGCTGAGCTGATGAGACATTCATAGTTGATCAAAACATCCTCTGAAGAGTATATTTTTGAACTTAAAACCACAGGCTAAAATAGCATAGGGGGGGCTTCAAGCGCGCCGTTTTTGAAGATGGTTCTTTTGAAAAAAAACATGTTCCCAGTACGATTTTGCGAGGTGCGTTTTTTGGGCAGCTGAACAATTATACAAACGCAGTGGTGCCGATTTGACGCGTTTGCGACAAGGCGAGAAACGCGTGCGCGACTCATTTGACTTTTCGCCAGCTTGGTCTAACGAAAAAAACATACTGTACCTCGGATATATTCGGTGTTCGTGTTCAAGCTTCACGTTACGAGGCACCCTCGACCGCGACTTGCGACCAGGGCAAAGGTGAACTGTGCAACTTGTGAGCCGAACAGCCACATGGGTTGCGCGAAATGCGACCTTGTTGAACCTCGGGTTAAAAACCTATTGCACACCCATGGAGCTCTTGAAAAAACTGAGCTGTGTGAGCGGTCAGTCGCAACTTCATCCGCCGAGCATCTGATGCCAAATCAATCGTCGCGCACCAATAACGTAGCAAATCTACTTCGCATTACAGACAATTTCGGGTCCCATACCATTTCGGAAATAGAAAACGCACCAAAGGGTCTGCCCCTAAACGAAACATTTTTTCAAGAGCTCCTCAGGTGTGCTATTCTAGCCTGTGTTTCTTAAGAATGTGAGAAATACGGTACTGCTGGAGGAACGAAATGTATATTAATTTCAGTGGAGCAAATCTTTGCACGAATAGCAGACATTGATAATACCAAGGCCGACTTTCTTTGGGTTGATTTCAAATAAATTCAAAGCTGAAAATGATACGGTAATTTATTAGGGATACATGAAATGAACAAATAGGCTACTCAGAAAAAAAAAACCAATCACGCCAAAAAAAAAAAAAAAAAAAAAATCACGTTTCACACAGCTTTTCTTATTCCCCTCACTCCCCATTATCCATCAATAACCTCTCTAGTTCATCAATGGTGTAGATTCCAGCACCAGCAGCAATTGCCCCTTCATGCTGGGGATCAACTGTATGCACCGACCCTCCTACATCAGCAGTCTCCCCCCAAACTCCCAAACCTACACCGGCTATTCCCGAATGCTCCATAAGGGGGACAACAGTGGAATCATTCTCGCACCTGTATCGGGCCGCACTCTCGACGTGAGAGAGTGGGGATGGAGGCATGGGAGCCCTGGCAGCAAATGCATCATGTGAAACATTCTCCAGGGAAAGCAGGGAGCCGGGACCCCCAGCAGCAAATGCAGCGTGTGACACATTCTCCAGGGAAAGCGGGGAGCCGGGACCTCCAGCAGCATATGCAGTGTGCGGCCCAGCTTCCAGGAAGAGTGGGGACGTGGGATTCTTGGGTGCAGAGGCAACGTGCTGGAGACCCTCCAGATGCACCACATCCACTGAGGGGTGAGGCAGAGGACCGCTCAGAGGAACGCTGATGTCTGCCATGATGTGCTGGTATCCAATAGGCTGGTCAGCAGGAGCAGTTGCAGCAGCAGCAGCAGCAGCACCAGCAGCAGCACCACCACCGTATGCAGCCTCAAATTCCTCTGCTGGAAATTCCTGCATGAACACGTCTCTGTCCCTGCTGGCTGCACTGCCCTGCTCTGTGCCGTTGCGTACGTGCAAGCTGGCAGTATTGTTGAAAAAGATAGGTGGTGAGGCGGGAGTGGGAAGGAAAGGGTGTGAGTGGGGGGCATCAGAGGTCAAGAGTGCAGAGGTCAAGAGAGGAGAGGTCACTGTGGGAACAGAGTGGCTGCGAGAGACGAGATGGCGCTGGAAGGGACTGAGTGGCCCTTGCAGCTGCTGCTCATGCTGCTGCTCCTCTTGCTGCTGCTGCTGCTGCTGGTGCTCCTGCTTCTGCACCAACTGCTGTTGCTGCACTGGCCGCTGCTGCTGGTGCTGCTGGGACTGTTGCTCCACCAACTGCTGCTGCTGCTGCTGCTGCTGCTGCTGCACCATTAGCATCTCCTCCACCCACGGCCTTTGCTGCCCCTCCAACATTCTCTGCTGCAGCAGCTGCTCCATCAGCCCCTGGCCGTACTTTCTAGCAGGCACTCTAGGCTGGAATGCTGATGCATGCAGCATTGTCCTGTCCAGCTGCCCCTGGTCCCGAGACCGCGTTCGCCTCACCCTGCAAAGAGCGAGGCTCGGATCCGTTTTGGGAGAACGGGCCGGGGAGAACGCAATACCCACAACAACAGCAGCACCGGCAGCACTGCCAATCCCTTCAACCACCATGCTGTCATCCCCACCATCTCCACTACCCGCACCAGCACCTGCAGCTGCAGCAGCCGCTACACCATCCATAGCAACACCATCTACAGCACCCGTGCCACCAGGAATACCAGCTTTACCCACAGCACTCGCACCACCTGCAGCACCTGTGTCGCCCTTAGAAGGCAGGGACTCAGGGGTTGGAGTTCTAGGGACAGGTGATTCCAGGGGGAAAGATGCACTGTGGCTCCGAGGCCACAGAGGCACGGGCTCAGAAAGAGGCCGGGAACGAGGGTCGGATTGATTCTCGGGCCACGGCTGATTGGAAAGCTCGGAAACGGTGCTGTTTTGCTCAAGCTTTGAAGTGTGGCTCCTCATCTGCTGCCCCCTCCGCTCCTGCTGCTGATAGTTCGAGAGGTCTGCAGACGAGCATCGTGCTACAGCCTTGCTCTTCCTTTCACCCCTGCGCCAAACAGAGCTGCGTCGCAAGAAGGTTCTTGGATGCCGCCGCTGCTGCTGCTGCTGCTGTGGCTGTGACTGTGGCTGTGACTGCGGCTGCGGCTGCAGCTGTGGCTGCTGGCTGTTCTGGTAGCTCTGAATCGGATGCGGAGTCACAACTACGGAAGAGCTGCTTGACATGGTAAACGCATACTGGATGCCATCATCGTGCTTCTCAGGATGTGCCCCAAGAGCCGGCATCATGGCAGAAGCATGGTGCATGCCAGCATGCCAAGATGATCCCTCCGTGGGTACTACCACTGCCACCTCCTCTGCGTGTTGCACGGGTGCATGGGAACTACCACCCGCACTGCTTATGAGCACTCTCCCCGTCACCCCAACGGTCCATAAACCCGCACGTGCTTGGCTTGGCACTGCTTCCGTGTGTCCACGCTCTGTGTGTGTCTGGACTGGCCCTGCCGATGCCTGCTGTCCCAGCAATGCCTGTTCTCCTGCCACTGCTTGTTGGATGCCTAGACTTGGAGTCTGCTCCATGGCTTTAAGCCCTTCTGCTGCCTCTGCTGCCCCTGCTGCCCCTGCTGCCCCTGCCGCCCCTGCTGCAGGCAAGCCTGTCAGGTTGCCTACCTCTCGGGCCTGTTCACCCCCTTGACCTGACTGCTGCCATTGAGAGGTTGGGGATGCTTGAAGCGGCATGGATGGCAGGCTATGAGGCATGGTTGGCAGGCTATGCGGCATGGATGGCAGGCTATGCGGCATGGTTGGCAGGCTATGCGGCATGGATGGCAGGCTATGCGGCATGGTTGACAGGTTATGGGGCATGAATGGCAGGCTACGCTGCTTGTCCCGGGAACTTGGCATAGTGAACTTGCCAGTTCCATTGCCAACCAAGTTCACGGGAACTCCTATCCTGTCACCTTTTCCTGACTGCACCTGGTTCAGCAAGCCTTGGTTCGGAGGGCTGCTTCGGGGAGGTACGGCTGTGGGGAGAGGTGTGGCAGCTGTGACGTGCCAGGAGTGTAAGCGGTGGGGATAGGTGGGGCGTATGGGATGTGGGTCTAGCTGCTGCGAGCTCTGCTCCCTCTCCTGCTGCTGACGCTCCTCTAACTGCTCCTGCAACTCCATTTTCAGCCGCTGCTGTTTCTGGGGGTGATAGAGGTGAGGCGTGTGATAGTACCGATCAGTTTCCCCCAATCCCATCACCGTGGCCACAAAACTACCATGAGAAACAGTGCCAAGGCCAGCCATTTCTTCATCTATCCCTGTCCCCATCCCCAGCTCCGTACCACCCTCTCCACCCACACTCTCTCGGCTTCCGCTACTCTCCTCCCCTGCAGACATCTCTCCCCCTCCCCCTCCCTCCTCACCTCTCTCCCCACCAACTCCACTCCCTCCAGTCCCATTGGCTTCTTCAAACCCCCGCAGCTGCTGGGAAAATTCCTTTGCGAGGACTGAAGACCACAGCTCACCTGCAGCAACCCCAACCCCAGCTGCTTTCAAACCTCCCAAGCCCGCTCCGGGCTCATCAAAACCCAGTAACTCCCTTTCATTTATGACAGCACCTGATGACTTAAACAGCAGGTTTGTATGCCCCTCCGTGGTAGCACCGGGTATTGGCGTGTCGGCAGGGCCGGAAGAGACGGGCGCGATGAAAGGGAAAAGCATGCTGGTGTGAGGAGCAGGGGCGGAGAACGCAGGGGAGGTAAAGGGCGGGGCAGAGACAGAGGCAGATGTGGAAGGGGCAGAGGGGGAAGGGGCAGTGGGCGAAGGGGTGGATGTGGGGGCAGACGTGGAAGGGGCGGAGGGGAAAGGGGCAGCGGGCGAATGGGCAGCGGGGTAAGGGGTGGTGGTGGAAGGGGCGGAGGTGGAAGGGGCAGAGGTGGAAGGGGCGGAGGTGGAAGGGGCGGAGGTGGAAGTGGCGGAGGTGGAAGGGGCGGAGGTGGAAGGGGCGGATGAGGAAGGGGCGGCTCTGCTGGAGCTGCTGCCACTGACAGTGGAGCTCGCTTCAGGGGTGCATGTTGTTGCTCCCGCACTGGCTTCCGCTGCTGCTACCGCTCCTCCTCCTCCTTGTCCTTCTCCCCCTTTCGCAGCCTCAGTTACTGCTGCTGTCCATATTGCCCCTGATCCTGCACCTGTTCCTGCTGCTGCTGCTGCCGCCCCTTCGCTTGTCCCCTCTCTGAAAGGCCGTGTCGTACCCGCAGCCTCACCGATCCATCTCCCGTCCGCAGCATCTTCAACGTGCTCCACCTTCTTCCCTTTCCCTCGAGAGCTCCTAGTAGTACCGCCCTCCCCAACCTGTCCAACTCCTTTCTTCTTCTCTCCAAGTCCTTTCCTCCCACCATCCTTCCCTGCACCGCCGCCTGCCATTACCTTCATATCTGCTGCTTCCAATGCTGCAGGCCCTGAGCCTACTCCTCCCTCTCCCGGATTAAAATTATCTGGGAAGTTAAGCTTAGCCTTTGCTCCTCGGATCTCCACAGCCGCTCGATCGAACGCCAGAGCAGCCTCCTCTGCAGTTGCAAACGTCCCCAGCCACTTCCGGACCCCACTACTGGTGTTCTTAATTTCTGCTATGTATCTAAACTCCCCTCGCTTCCTCACTCCGCGGTACTTCCCTGGCTGGTTGTAGTTCCGGTTGCGGGGCATATTCATGCGTCTGCTAGGCTCTGATGGGATTGCACCGACTGCAGGCTCACCTTGAAGTGGTAGTTGTGGCAAGTTTGGCTGTAGCAGCGGCTGTAGCTGTGACAACAGCTGCTGGATCTGGTCTTGTGGTTGTTGCGCTGGCTGAGCCTGCTGCTGCATCTGTAGCTGCGGCTGTAGCTGCTGTTGCCACTGTGGCATGTGCTGCATCTGCAGCATCTGCTGATGTGGCATCTTATGCTGCATCTGCTGCAGCTGCAGCATCGGCTGATGCTGCATCTGCTGATGTGGCACCTGCTGCAACCTTTGCTGCGGCCGCGGCAGTATTTGTCTCTGCGACTGCGAGGCCGATACGGTCCCCGTTCCCCCAGTCTGTCCCTGTGTGTGCGCGTCATGCTGCATCTCCAAGATAGCAAATAACTCCCTTGGTTAGTGAATGAGTGACTCTCAGGACGTTGGTGGTGCCGCCAACGCATCTGCCAAAAGATGGATCATTTTGGAGACTGCTCCCATCGCAAAAATTCAGTGTCCGAAAAGCATTTGCGCAGTGTTGTTGCGAACACCTTTCAGGTGGTTTCCAAATTGGTGGGTCCAAACACTGCGCGGTGTAAGTTGGAAAGACCTCGCAGATGGTTTGTCAAACACCACTCAAATGGTTTGTCAAACGCCACGCAGATGGTTTGCCGACACCGCGCTGATGTTATTTGGTCGTACGCGATAACACCTCCACGTCACCATGCGGTCATGCTGGAAGAGAACTTTTGTACTGTGCACGAAGACCATTACAAGTTTGTTCGCGTCACGCTTACATCTATTCATTGTGTTTGAGGCGTGTTGTTGTCCTTTTTTTGGTACATTCTATATCCGTTACTGCCACATCCGCTAGTACTCCATTGCCACAGATATTAGGCTCATTAATTGGTATAGATGGCCAGTAGAAGAAACACATCAGTGTCACAAGAAAACACATCAGTGACACAAAATCTCAGGGTTTAGACCTCTACCCGCATCCAAGCTGTGATCGCCCTACCAACCGCATCCGGACAAAAGGACCACTACCCTGGAAGTAAATCGGAAACGACCCGTACGATGGCATCAACCCCCTCCTTCCTCGTTGAGAGAGCACATACTGCTGCTGCAAGCCCCCACCTACTCCCACCGCTGCCGCTGCAGCTATGATAAACCTAGCTAACCACCAAGGTATGAGTCTGGCCCTGCTGCTGCTTGTGGTTCGTTCATCCCACAACCCCCCCCCCCCCCAAGGCTGCTGCTGAGACCCCTGCCTTGCTGCTGCCACCTGTGCCTCATTCCCCAAATCCCCTCTCCCCCCACCCGAAGCTGCTGCTGAGACCCCTCGCTTGCTGCTGCCACCTGTGCCTCATTCCCCGAATCCCTCCCCCCACCCTAGGCTGCGGCTGAGACCCCTGCCTTGCTGCTGCCACCTGTGCCTCATTCCCCGAATCCCCTCTCCCCCCACCACAGGCTGCTGCTGAGACCCCTCCCTTGCTGCTGCCACCTGTGCCTCATCCCCCAGTCCCCTATCCCCCCCCTCCCCAAGGTGATGCTCATATCCATTCCTCGCGCCCGCTGTTGCCTCAACCCTTTAACTCCCCCCCCCCACCACAGCCTGATGCCGAACCCACTCATGCGCTGCTGCCGGTGCCTCATATCACAAATGCTCCCAACCACAACTTCCAGTTCTTGCCGCTGCTGTGAGCGGCTTTATCAATACCCACTATAGTGTGATACCCAAATGTCAAGGCCACTCACATCCCTCAAAAGGAACCCGCCCTCGAGCGCCCCCACCCCAACCTGCTGGTCCTGAAAGCCCCGCACACCACCCGCCCAGCCCACCTGTTTCACATCATTTCGCTGCCAGCACCCCACCCCTCAAACGACGCTGCCACATCATGCATCTGCAAACACCCCATGGTTATGAACCCAGCACACGCCAGTACTGGCGCTTGCAATAAGCCCCTCCCATTGTGGGATGGCTGCCCCTTCAGAATGATGCTGACAGACCCTTCCCTCCAGAGCCCACGCCAATACTTGGCTCCACTTCCGTCCCAGTTGTATCCGTCCCCTGCCCTGAACGGTGTGGTGATGCCACCCCTGCACATACCTGCCTCACCCCTGCAAAAGGACCCTTAATCCTTAGCCTCTCCCTCTCCACCTTTGGGCGCCTTCCCCTTGCCCTCCCTCCCTGGTTCCTGCCACTCGTCCTTGAAGCCACTCTCATGGACGTAAAGTCCATACTCTCCCCATTTCCACCCCCGCATGTCCTTGCTGTACTCCTTGGGGTAGTTGCTGAAGTGGTCAATGACCACCTGTCGCACCCTCTTGTGAAGGTCCGTTATCCAGGCCTTGTTCTTGGGGTGTGAGTTAGAGAGGCCCATCGTGGTGTGCCTGCGGCGGGTCAGCCCATAGTCGACCTGGGGAAGAGGGTGGCCGAGGGGGTTTGTAAAAGGGTCAGGGAGGTGGGGGACGGGAATGGGGTTGCATGAGCCGAGCACAATCGGGAGGATACTAGAGCCCAAGCCACGGCGTCCTTTAAGGCGCGCTCCCCGCCACTTACCACCATGATAATCCAGGCAATGTGATACGCCTTCAGACAGAGCTTCCCCGCCACAGCCCACTGCTGAAACGCATCGAACGCCGCCTGAAAGAAGATCTTGTTGGCAAAAGGCTGCCCGGAGTGCACCCCTGGGGGTGGCTTCGCCGAGCCCCAGGTGCTCACCAACTGCCCAAACCTCCTTCCTGTTGGGGGTAACGGCAGCACAGATGGAGGTGCATGATGCTCAAATGGTGTGAGGATATGGGGAGTGAACACGAGGTATTAACTTCAATGACATGCGCCCTACTAAACAACTGTGACCGCGCAGCTACATGAGTACTTACGAGGCTTGAAGTCATGCCAGAGGGCCATCTTGTCATCAAGGTCCACATGGATCTTGGAGCCCCTCGCCCACTTGACCTTCACCCCTAGCTCCGTCAACACCCGCCTCTTGATCAGGAACCCCCGCTCGTTCTTCCACTGCGTCCATACACGCTTGAACTTATCGTTGTAGTTGTTGTCGGTCATTGCCTCCTGAACAGCCACGAAAGACACGTCGTAGCCCTCCATCACCAAAACCGTGTGAAGGTCCACCATGCGGAGGTAGAAGGTCGTGTAGAAGTCAATGCCCGCATCAGGCGCATCGATGCACATCCGGTCGCGCGAGGTTTCGTAATGGATCTGTGGACGGATGGGCGTCGGGGGGGGGGGGGGAATGGGGGGGGAGAGAGGGCGGGGACAGACAACCAGAGGCATGGGGAGACGGAGGGGAAATGGCAGCAAAGCAGATGCCAAAAAGCAGGTGAGATGTGGAGAGAACTTGTGTGCCACACCAGGAATGAGAGAAGCTATGGGTATGGGTGGGAGGGAGGGGAACAAACATGCAAAGGATGGAGGGAGAAGTACTCCTTGTTGCCAGAGGCAGAGAACCTGTGGGAAGGGGCAGGAGGGAGAGAGTAGGCGGGCAAGGGCAGCGACATGAGGGAGAGATCTCGAGGTCAATGAAAGGATGGAGAGAACGTGTGGATAGGGGCACGAGGAACAGGGTAGGCTGGCAGGGGCATCCAGGGTAACGACATGAGCGAGCAAACCTGCGGACAGAGGGCAGGAGGGAGAGAACATGTGGAGAAGGGCAAGAGGGAGAGAACCTGTCTGTAAGGGCAGGAAGGAGAGGGTGGGCGGGCAAGGGCACACAGGGCAAGGTCATGAGGTGGACAACCACCGGCCAATGGCATGTGAGTGATCTGTGGGCAAGGGCAGGATGGACAGGGTAGGCAGGCAAAGGCAATGAGGGCATCGACATCAGGGGGAGAACCTGTGGGCAGAATGGGGGTGAGACAGAGAACCTGTGGGCAACAGCAGGGGGGAGAGGGTCGGTGGCCAAGAGCATACATGGCATTCCCATGAGGGAGATATCTCACGGTAAGGGCAGGAGGGAGAGAACCTGTGGGCGGGGGCAGGGGGGAGAGGGTAAGGGGGGAAAGGACATACAGGGCAAGCTCACGAGGAGGAGAACTTGGGGCCATGCGCTGGATGGAGAGAACATGTGGACAAGGGCAGGAGGGAGAGGGTCGCACGGGCCTGAGGATGACGAGATCCAACGCAAAGGAAATTGTCACCAGATTCTGTCAGGCCAGCCGAGCGGTTGTAAGTGGGGCACGTACAAGCAATGGACACCAAGTCGACATGCAAGTCTTGCCTTGCAAGGAAGAGCGATTCATTGATGACTCACCCCAATCTTCTTCAGCGAGGGCATGCCCTTCTTCCGTTGCACCACTGCCATCCCCGTGCTCTCGCCCACCAGATCCGTGCCGGTATCGGGGCCGCTGGATGCGGAAGCGAGTCGCGGAAGGCCTCGATCCCGCTCTCCCTTAAACTCCTGGATCTTCCCTATGGCCTCCCTCAACGCCCGCCACAGCAGTTGTGGTGTCACGTAGGTCGGCATCTCTTCTGCATCCGCAATGTCTTCCCAGGAGAAGCGCCCCCCCTTGGAGTCCTCACCCTCAGGCCGCCGACGCTTCCCGTCATGCCCGCCAGCGCCTTCATACTCGGCCGCAGCGCGTTTGCGCTGAGAACCTGTGGTGGCATGCTGATGTGTCTGATGGTTCCCCTCAGGCCCATACTCCCCCGTGGCGCATGCCCACATCCCACCAGCAGCACGGCCATCATCACTTTGCTGCTTCCGGCGTTCCAATCCAGCATGACCCGCCGCGCGCCCACGTGTGTCCGCCACACTGATACGCAACTCGCTGCCACTCTGAGCATTGTTCCCGCCACGCCACGGGCGACGCTCGTTCGCAGCTTCGCGAACCCTGGGTGGGTTCTTCTCCGACGCCTCCTCATCGTTGTCCTCCCCTCCGTAACCTGAGTCCGCCTTCTTGGATCCCCTCGGGTACTTGTCCAGTGCATCCTTTCCGCTCTTGTTAGGCTTCCACTGGGCAACCACCTCCTCCTCATCACTGGATGAGG